CTGTATTCACATTTGTTTTTTATTCTAAATGTTGCCGCCTAATCTAATGCACGCCTTACTTGGGACAAATCCATTCTAATCTAAGAGTTAGGCGCACTGGAGGTAGTTTATTTTTCCTCCAAAATCGCGACCTGAAGGCAGAAAAAAACGTGACGTCACACTACGTTAAAACTGAAATATTACTTTCTAATGCTCTCAGACTGCATTGACTAATTCAGCCAGCCTGGCTGAGTCGCTATTGCTGTGAAGACGCTAGGAATTCTATGAAAAGGAGACGTCTTCTAAGAGCCGTGTTGAAAGCCGAGCCAAGACCTGTCATTGGAAGTTCATGCATAGAGTACTTTTTGCCTAATGTCAAGAGCTCTTACTCGTTAAAAAAATCAGCTCATCACTGGCGACGTAATGTACATATACTCTTTGAATGCGGGCACGCGAGCCAAACAGACACTTGTCTGAGAAACGTGTCAAGCTGAAGTGGTATCCACGTGAAATGAAAAAGCATGTGAAAATAAACGTATCAGGTTATTGAGATTGTTTTAAGATTTTTAGTGTTTGTAACAAGATTCTAACGCTTGTATGAGCTGCAAACGCAATTATTACACTACAGAAAACAAAATCGTATGACGCTGCAAGAATCTACACGTGGCGGAACACATTCACTTTGTCACTCTCCTAAAACTGACATTTTTTTTGTAGCTTTAATAGGATTGTATAATTTGGGATTCAGGATTGGCGAAAATGTTTGAAGAGCATTATTTATTATCAGCAAGTAGGAAAACTCACTTTAAAAATAAATAACGCGGAACAATTTGAGTAAGTGCGAGAAGAGTATAAAACCGTAAAAATATAATAAACAAAATCAAAACGGATTATAATGGCTAGATTGTTTGGAAGCGTAAGATGTATAGTATCTGAGCGAATCAAGTCACGAAAGAGATGAATTTTAACCTTTCTCATATTGGATATAATGGAAATTATTGGATATACCTTTTGTATATTTCTAAATCGTATTTCATTTTTCATTAAAGTTTTAATTAATTAAAATTATTAAATCTTCAGACAATCAATTTCATTTAATTCAGAATTAATTTAATTCATCTCTCAACAACAAATTTTCTCCTGAATAATTCTCGAAAGACGCGCACCGAGAAAATAACGAACACTGGAGAATGTTTCTGGAGTATTTTACAGAACCATCAGGTTCTTGAAAAACATAATAAATCAATAATATTTTTCAAAATTCCTAATGATTTCGAAATTGTTTTAACGGGCGCTTTAAATAGTATGTCTGCTTCAAATAATTTTAAATTCATTATTTTATAAATACTTGGGGTACATCAATACATAGTTCTATAAAAATATATTATAATAAATTACACTTAAGACATTTTAAGAGACATTTATTGCAATATCTCATATATAATTTATTATCACAATTTTATAATGTGACAATAAATGTAATTGGTAACAAGTGACCATAAATGGTAATGGTAATTCAGAGCGATATTATTTTATATACCGTCAAGTGTTTTAAAAATGATGAAACCTAACTATGTAGAACTATTTACTTTTAATTTAATGGCAAACACTAGAATAAATACCAACTACCTAAAATGTCAACCTGCAAAGGATGAAAAAGTACAGTTTTGAAAGCCTATACACTCTCTACTTGCTCATGCTTAGAGCCATGTAACACACTCTCTCTCTCTCCCTCTCTCTCTCTCTCTCTCTCTCTCTCTCTCTCACACACACACACACACACACACACACACACACACACACAAACAGAACTGGTGGAAACACTTGTCTTAGGCGTTGTACCTGAAGAATATAACCATTGATTTAATAAGGTCAAACCCAATCATTTCCACTAGAAACATATTTATCAGGCTCATATTTTTCGTGTCAAATTTTACGCGTATGACCAAATTATCGACCAAAAAAAAGAATGTTCGAAGCACTCAGAATCAACTGCGAATTCTCTCAGCCACATTAAACAAATGTATGCTACCTAAAAAAATTCCTAAGTTCTGAAACCTTGTAAAACGAATGTTTCGCTGTACAAAACGAGAAGTCAGAAAAAAAACCTGCACCGTTGACGTTCCAGTGCGCGGCTGTGTATCTTATCGGGTTAAATTTCTGGTCCAGCTGGCGGGGCGGTGGGGCGGCGGGCAGAGGTCGTCGCCATTGGAGCGGTTTCTCGCCATCTGGCGGCGAGGCGAGGCGTGGCGAGCGTAGCCGGTGGCGGCGGCGGCGGCTGCGGGGGCGGCGACGGCGAGGGAGTCTGAATAATTAATTACGTCACATCTCCCGCGTGCGCGCCCGCGCTCTGCGGTGGCGGCGGGGCCAGAGGCGGGAGAGTGGCCGCTACCTCCTCATAGAGCGCTTGTCAACTTCAACACGCCGTAAATCACACGGCCAGGTGCCGCCACCGTCGCAGCCGTCGCCGCCGCCCCCGCCGTCCGCCGCCGCCTCCGCCTCCGTCTCGACCTCCGCCGCCGCTGCCGCCATCGTCGCCTCCATGGATATCGCCCCCGCCGCCCGCACCGCCCCCGCCGCCGTCCGCGAAGCGACTGCGCTTCCGCCACCGCCTCCCGCGCCAACTGCTCTGGAAGCAATGCTCTCTGCGTAGACGTTGCAAAGGGGCGGCCTGAGGCACGGTGGCCTGACGCTCCTCTACGTAGCAATGGCCGAAGGCGGGGGCATTCAGCCCTGGATGTGGAAACGTCATCACCTACCGTGTATATCTGTGCTTGTTTGAGAATCCTATCAAGGTGGAATTTCGCAGGACCGACCGGTTGGGTTTAGCTCGGAGTCAGAGACTTGCGGATGACTCAACGACTCTGACCGGGTGGTCGTAGGATTCAATTCCCGCTGGTAGCAGCTTTTCGACACTACGTCGAATTTAGCTTCTGTCTGGAGAATTCCGACAGGCCGGTTGCTCTGATCGGTTGTGATTTCTCCGGGTCAAAACTGGTCGAATGCCGGTGCAGATCCTAACAAACAGGTCACGGGCCACACGCGATTATTCCTTCCTTTTCCTTGACATCTGCTCTGCCCTTATTAGCACGCACACTTGAATGCACTTCTCTAACACACATATCCAGAGCTTAGATCTTGTTGTGGTTGGGGCGGTGCCACGATCAAGGGAAATACCTGGAGAGGGTGTTCCTCGCGAGCTGACGTACAGACCCGTGCCGGGTTTCACCATCTAGTGGGGAAGGAATATCCCTCTCCCGGGTTAAAACATTCACTACACCAACGGGACTAATGACCAGTTGACATGCCCGGAAACGAATCAGTTAATCAATCAATCAATAAATGGCGCTGGGAATACCCGGTCTTCTCTTTGATCTTCAATGAACACCTAATTCTCTTAAATGCTCTTTTAATTAAATTGTTTATTTTGTTATCAAAGTTGACTTCTGCAAGTTCAGTTACAACAACGCATTCTCATTTTCTAACACGCATTTTGCACACCATGATATGTTTAGGGGCCGTGAAACTAGCATAAAAATGTAATTAGGTAAAAAAAGTGTTTAAAATCCACATTTTCACAACATTAATGTTGTTTCTGAATTTTTGCATTTAAACTTAACTTTAAAGCTAAAACAATATTTTCAAAAATATTACATTAACTTACTGGAATAGTAGTTGTGTATGTGTCAAGAGCTAAAAATGAATGATTATGGGTGAGGTGATTACCAACTGAGGTGGTGCTTAGTGAAACTTAAAATCATTTTCGGACAGATGTGCAAACAACTATTTTTTATGTACTCACCTCGCAATTGTAAGTTTGAATTTTTAAATGGAAATTTTGTAATGCAATCCGTTATTGTTGCTTATAGTCAAATTTTTTGCATTATCGTATCCTAAGTTGTCAATATTGATACTTCTTAAACACGTGGAGAATTCGCATCAAACGTAACAGTTCTAGGAATTACATTTAAAACCTATCCCATTTTGTCTTTAATGTAAATGCCAATACGTTATGAGTTAAATTCAGTCTGTACTCTGAAAATAATAAACATTCGTGAATGTTTCGCCGTTGATTTGTTCACATTGTCTCGAATTAGGTTACCGTAGTAATTAAATACTTTCCCGGTCTTGGCCGCGAAAACTGAACTTTGCTCCGATAAATTCTAAGTAGAGAGGTTTAGAGGCAAATGTACGAAATAATTATTTACCCAACAAGGGTGTTATCACGGTTCTAACGATCTACCGGTGATAAGCAGCCCCAATGTCAAAGGCCCTCGGACTCAATTTGTCGCCGCTCAATGATTAGAACCAGTTAACGTCGTGGTATATACATGATTTTAATTTTTTAACTGATTTTAATAATTCAGTTTTTATTCACTAATTAACTAGTTACTAACTTGATTTATTTATCTTTTCATATTTCCCTCTCATAATTCCTTCATAACTGTTGCCATATGAGAAAGTGCAGCATCATTCAACTGTTTTGGTTTTTTCCTGTCGATCCAGATAAATTATGTATTGTATATCGAATTCCGTGTAGAAGGCAATAACCATCAATAAAGTATAAGTAAAATTTAAAAAATATATTAAAGTAGTAAAATATATGCATCGGCATACTCAGCAGTATAACAGACTTAAATCTCATATCTGCTGTCTCAGTCTATGTAATTCCCCACGATCCTCTTTAATTTTCTTCTTCACATCTTTAAATAGACATTGAACCCATCAAGAAATACGTTTTTTTGAAAGGGGCTCACGCGAAATCAAAAACAACAAACACCTTTGGGCAAGCGCCGCATCCTGGCAACGCCGACAATGCCGGAGCGAGCGGGAACGGGAGCGAGAGCGGGAGCAGGGGCGG